TTGATGGTCCGCAGTTGGTGCGGCAGCATAGTAAAATTTAACATAAAATTTTCTCCGTGTACAAGATATTATATCTCAAAGTCGAATAAAATATTTTTCGTCACACATAATAGTACAACATCCTTATTCTTGAATCTATTATTATAATAGCATATTATCATTAACATCCGATTATATAATTATATTAAAATAGAGATAATAATCAACTATTTTCCTGAAAGATTTATGTCACATTACTTATTAATAATAATATTAACTATTAATATGATAAATTTCACAAACAATTAATAATAAAGATATAAATATAAATGTGACTTGTGATAATGACAATTTTAACACTTTTGAAATTTTTTTGCAAAATTCTTCGCGCGAATGCAAAGCGGGCTAGTTTAGGTATATTAAGCTATCTAACAACAAGACAAATTATCAGAACACAAAAAATCTTAAGCTATCCAGCCTTTTGTAACTTTTTAATAACCGGAGCAAAAAAATTACTTTTAAAAGCAAAAAATAGCAAATAATTAGCAAATTAATTTCATATAAAATTTTTTGTGTTCTGATAATTTGGCTTAGATAGCTTAATATACCTGGCGAGTTTCAGGATCTGCGGGCGGCAAGAAAGTTCCACGCAGTCTGTTTCTGCAATCACAGAGACTGCTACAGAGTACAGCTGTGACTGGCATTCGATGACTCACAACAGCATGACGACAGACTACTAATTGTGAGCCAGTAATACACTATTACCGAGTAAAGCAGTGTATCCGCGTGTACAGTGTTGTTGCAGAAATATTGTTTTTCTCTCTTTCACGGATTTCATACCAGATTTTTATGCAGTTTAAAAGTCACCCGGTGTGGGAAAACATATAACTGCATAATAATTTATAAATTTTAAACCGTCCGATTTTTTCTTCGATAATTGTACTATTTTGAATCGAGAAAAGGCTCGATCGCATCAGCGTAAATTATCGCAAAAATAAAAAATCTATTATTTTCTTAATGCTCCACTTATTTGTATGACTTTCCATTTAATTTTAATATATTGTCACTCAGAATTGTTATACTTTTATGACGATTGACACAGACATGCGTAATAATAATGTAATAAGTAATTAAATAAGAAATAAAATACAAAAGTATTTAAATATAGCAATAAAATATAGAAATAATAAAATACATTAATACAGAATAAATAGATTGGATGTTAGAATGTTTTCGATTATCAAAACTCTAGTTATAGGTACGTCGCAATGAATAATACATATTAAGAAAATAATTTTTCAATTGATATACAAAAACATTGGTGACTGAACGTTAGATTACCGTCTTGGAAAATAGAAAAATCCAATTTCGAGGCTCGGCTCTGAAATAATACTTTTCGCAATAAATTCTTTTACAAAAGAGCTGTATAAGATGTTTGTTATCATCAGTAATATTAAATTATTTATTGTATAATTATTAACGATAACGTATATACGAATTTAATAATATAAGATTGTATTTGACCTAGTAGGTTATAAAACTGAATAGTAAGCAGATGATTTGAAAGCAAATATCTACAACTCACTCATCTCATAAACATTACGATTTGTCCGATAACCGAAAGTATCAAATTATTCTGTACACGTATATACCTATCATTATTTAATATATATCCATCATTATTTATAATTTCTATATATTACTATAATTTACATTGTCTATACGGATATCTTCAATTGCAAATTATATAATAATATATAATTCATAGATATAAGTAAAATAAAGAATTTTATATAATGTTCTTTAATTCCTTAATAATTATGTAATTCATAATTTAGAATAATGTGAACTATTCGAATGAAATTATTTTAAGTACAGCATGCTCTAAATATCGAGTAATGTATGAAATATATGCTACTAGTTGAAAATTGAAGTATATAGTAAATAATGGCAGACCAACTATAATGATGAGGAGAAAGGAAAAGTCTTATTATCCGAGTTTCACTCAGAACCGACGAGAAAGGATTTTAGAATTATGATGGAATAATTTCACCATGATCGTGCAAAGCTTTCCTAAATATCTTTCAATTTCATTTTTCAATTTATAAAATTAATATTCAGAAACTTTTAATATATTGCCTTACTAATAATTTGTAAATCTAATATCGATTAATTTTAATCGGTTTTCATAGAATTTGCTATTAATAATTGTAATAGTGAATAAGAAAAATAGGTATATAGAAATAATATGTATATAAGAACAGAAATAGATCATCGCTATTATCACTATTACATCAAACTAACATTATAAAGAAAAGCCGCAAATATATATGTACAATTGAATCCGTTAATCTTTACATTCGGATTTCTTAAAGCTCTTTTAGCGTATTTTTTATAAAAATTCTAAAAAAAGTGGAGTAGATTTAAAGGGTAAACATTATATTTCTTTATACATTATACACATATTTTTTATTTCATATCTACTTTTCCTATTCACAAGAATTAGACGTGCCCACACATACAGTCGTTTATCCTCATTATTTATTTACTCTTATATACATATGTCTCATTAATCTTTCAAAGAGACAAATGTTCAGCGATTAATTATCAATTTCTTAATTTAGTATATTCCGTCACAGATGCCATTTAACTTGTACAGATTGCTTAAAGTGTGCTTGGAAACAATGTTGTTCGTCAGCGTCATGGTCGCTAAACCCTCTGTTATGCTTCCACGACTACTGCTGTCGGCGGAAATGGATTAAGCCGATTAACTTGCCGGTTATACCTGCGGACTGCCAAGATAGACGTGATACTCTTTCATATTCGAACAATGCCAGTCGGAATTAATTAGAGAAACTGTTGAAATATTCATCGAAAGGCACAATTTTCTGGAATTGAAATCCTCGAACTATAGTATACGAAAATAAACCTTGTCAGTAGCAAAACACACAGGCTCATCTTCCTATATCTTGACATATTTTGAAAAAATTCTCTTCTCGGACAATTGGTGCGCAATTCCTTCTCTCAAATCTAGACACGCAGAAATGTACTCTTATTAATAATAATCAGCGTAAAGCTCTTTTTTTTTTCCTATTAACACACAAATTGCGCCTGATAATATCCGTTTATTTATCTATCAACTGGACAGGTACAATCCTACGTTATATAATAACATGACCCTTTTAACGCTATTTCAATAACGATTCGTCGGCACAATCAAATCGCGTCTTCCGTAACCCGTCCGCGTCTAGCACCGGCTGATTAAACACTTCTGCGTGATACAATCCGTACTCACTCTCGCGAATGGTCCGTAGAAGGTTGCCACCGCTCGCTTCAATGTAGCATCCCACCGGATCGGGGACGCTGCCGGGGTGCCCCGAAGAGATATCCCTGGGAGGACGTTCCGAAAGTGTCCTTTGAGAAGTCCCGCGAAAGTTTCTCCGCCGAAGGAGAGACCCCAAGTCTGTCTTTCTCTATCTCCGTTTCTCTCGCGAGTCAACTCGACACACGCCGGAGGTGCGCGTGAGAACACGTTGTATGTACCTTCGGGACAAATCCTCCACGGCGGAATCGATATCGTGAGCGTCGCGATTTTGAGAGACGCGAGAGACGCACACGTTGGTTCTCACACGACGAAAATCCTGCGACGGTCGACGAGCATCGGGACCACGTTCCCCGAGACCGTTCTCGCGGCGGCGGCGGCGGCGGCGGCGGTGACAGACAAAGATGGCGAGGCTCGGGCACGGACCACGGTGCACAACATCACATGTCCAACGAAAACCGTATACTTGGAGCGAGGAACGGCACGTTCCGTCGGCCGCCGAGACGCGTGCGGGAGCGCGCGGCGCGAGAAAACGGACGGAAGGTCGCCGTTACGGAGCGCGATGAGGCGCGGGTGCGGAATTTTATCGCGCGAGACAAACCACACGGCTGATCGTAAAATCGCGACTGTAGCGACTCGAGGCGAGCTGCGCTCGCGGCTCGCGGCTCGCGGACGCACGGGCCGATTCTCATGGAGCGATTACTCGCATTTACTTGTCTCCTCACTTGTTTTTTAACCTTGTAGCGTCTAGCGTCCGCTCTCTTTGCGTTTACAATGGCCGCATTCAGGAAACACAACTGTTGACTGAGCGGTCAGTGATTCTTTAATATGATTGGTTCTTACCTTTGGTTCTTCTCCGGATCTAAGTGTAAGAACCAATCATAATGAGCGCTCACTCAACAGTTGTGTTGCCTGAACGCGGCCAATTATGATTATGATATTGCTAGGCCTATTCCTTTTTAGCCAAACTTCTCGCACGGTTCATCTTTCTTTTCTCTATTTTCTTTTCACGTTGGAGAGAAAGAAAAGAAAAGATGAACCGTGCAAGAAGCTCAACTAAAAAGAACAAGCCTAATTATCTTAATTTAAAATGAGACAGATGTATATGTACATACATATACACTTGGACGTTGGAGATAAAAGAAAATATGATGGGAAGATACAAAAAATCATTTACAAAATATTTACAAGTCAATTTACAAAGGCCGCGTTCGGATATTCGTTGCCAGTAATGAAAATCTATAGTTTACATCATGCACATTATAGATTTTCAGTATTAGCAGTGAATAGAATGCAGCCAATTAAAATACGAAAAGTTATTTACAAAAGACAAATTATAGGTATACATTATTTGATCATGCGCTATTTTCAATTATTTTGTTCTTATAACATTCCAATTGAAGCAACTGAAATTATTTACCTCGGATATTATTATTAGCAATTATATGAGATCAATTATATGAGCATGTATAAAAATGGGGGATAAGGAAAAGTTAATTTTTGTCGCATAAGAATTTATCGGATTTTCTTGACGATGATTCGACGAAAGTACATGAAGAAGTATGATGAAAAAAGATAATATGTTTTTTAAATTCAATTCAGAAATTTATGTTTAAAGTTATTTTGAAGGTTGCGCGTTGTTTCATCATATTTTTTGCGAGCAAATGCTTATTAACAGTTCTTTTCTCATTGGTCCACCTCAGTCCACCTCGATGAGATAAGCGTTTGTAAACAATAGTTATATGACGTCACAATGAGTCATTAATAATGAGCGCTCCTCTGAGCGCTAGCAGAACCAAAATGATCGATAAAAGTACTGATACTTGTCGAATTAATTTTTTCCGGATGTTAAAACCACCGTTACGAATCAATTAACGTACTATTTCTTTATTTATATTTTAAATGCTGTTTATTATCTTTAACGCTTAACTTTACTTTAACTTATTATTAATTACTTAAGACTAATTAATTAGTCTTTAGACTTCATTAATGCAGTAGAGCACAAGCAATCGATATAATTTATTATAAAATTGTATAAAATATATGATATTTCACGTACATAAGGGGGACGAGTATTAATAAGATTTTTAATCTTGAAATCGCATCCAACATCTAGTATTATACAGATAAAAAGAATATCTAATAAAGAAAATATGTTTTAAATATCATTTATTTTTTTTCATTGCGCTTTAAACAGTACCACTTATTCGGAAATTCATATGATTCTACATAAGTAAGATCCTCGCTGATATATGGCAAGTGCCAACAGTTATCAATCTTCTGTACAAATGGCATACAGGGAAAAGGCTCTTGGATACGGATACCAGTTTTACTTGGCTTGATCAAGTACTGATGCGAATATTGCCATTTCCTAAATGTTTGCTGTAAATGGTTATCCCGCAAGGAGTGCTTATGTTGTCGCATCAAGTCCAACGAGACAAACATTGCGTTTATCCCGCTCGCCATAGTTGCGTAGAGTATGTAAGGATCATCAGCAGATCTAAAATTTTAAGTTTTATGTACACAAGTATTTAAATGTATTATTGGGGAATTGTTTCATAATTAAACTATATACTTTTATTTTATATATAGAGTAATCTTATATGCCATGGTGGATATCCCAAAAATCCCACAGTATATGTATATCTGCATATATTCAATACTTACAAATCATCTATTAAGAAGACGTGTGCATGCCGCTCTACTTGCTTAAAAACAGATAGCTTCCTTTGATGTTTCCGCGTCAATACCAGCATTTTTTTCCTATATTTGCTAAAATACTCGACTACATTGGTTAGCTGTAATATGAACCGTATATTAATATCTAATATATTAAACAATAACGGGTAAATAGAAAAATAATAACAGGTAATGGAAAAATTACTTTGCAATTGAAAAAACAGCATATTGCTACATATATAAACTTGTATATATAATAATATGTACTGATATATCTTTTAATATATTAATATACTTCATTTTGTTCAAAACAGTAGGTATTACCCATAGTAACTTAGGTAGAGACTTGCTCTGAGTATAAGTTAGATTAAGTCCGTCAATCACTATGTCGTAAGGTCTAGTATGTTCAACGAATTTCTTAAAATTCAACAATTCTTTTGGATTAGTCTTACGATAGATATCTGATCCTATGATCACCCTATCTATCACAGATTTCGCCAGTTCCTGAAATTCTTTTTCACTAAATGTTATTTCAGGCAAGGAATAACCGCAATGTCTACAATGTCCCCTAAATGAAATAAAAATCCTACTATTAAAACATTATTCATTAACTCATACTACTAATTTCATTCTATAAAAACACTAATCTATTTTTTTAAATCTTAATTTTCTTTATTAAATTCTTAAACATTATCTTTAAAAAATATAACTATATTTAAGTAATTACATTAATATATAATTTTTATATATTAATGTAATTACTTAAATATTAATTTAAAAATCCCATCTTTAATTATTAAATTCTTTTAACCATCATCTAAACTAAAATTACTAAATAAACTAAATTTAATCATATTGAAATAATGAGAAAACAAACGTTTTTCTGGAGATTGTTACAAGCTCCGTGGACCAGCCATTCTTGCTAGCTGTATCAGCATATGTACTTATAATTTTATCTGACGGTGTTATACCATAATTAGCCCAGAAATTAAACATCTCTTCCATTCTACTGTTAAAAGTTTTTGTATCCTCCAACTGGCAATATTGTAAATGCGATATATATACATTATTTTGTGGAATCATCTTGCGCTGTGTTATGTTTGATAATGCTTTCCATGCGACATCAGGTTTTCCATTTCTAAATGCTGCACTAGCTAATGCAGAATATATCGTGGTGCCTGGAAGAGAGGTAAGCTTCAGCATTTCTATTATCTCATGTGTTGTCTCCCATTCATCCGTCAAACATAAGCTCATTATGCAATCTTCAGCTGTAAAGGAATCCAAATACGGATGCTTCTGTCTCAAAGCATTGTAAGTTTCTACAATTTCCATTTTATCCGCGTCAGTCAAGGAGTTTTGTTTCAAAACGTAGAGTCTGAGATATTTTCCAATTACTGCCATATTCAGGGGATAATTATTTTCCCTCAAGAATTTGAAGTACGCAATAGCATTATCCACGTAGGAGTCTTTAAGACACATATCTATGATTGTGGAGTCGATGGTGGCTGGTGTGACTTGTTGATTTTTCTGAAGAACTTCCTCTCGAATGTTTTTCCATTCTACAGTTGATAAATTTTCTGTCATTCTCTCATATATATCTGCATTTTCCCTGATAAAGGCATTCAAAGAAATAAGTTTCTTAGCATTATAGATTTGTTTCGATAACATATATGTCCTCTTGTGAAACTTGCAAAACTGGGACCATAATGGTTGAGATATTTTATAAAGTAGCGTCATTTATTCTACACCTGAAAATTAAATTTATTCATTGGTAAAATTATGTCATAATTATATAAGAACTTACGTTTGTTTATTTTGCTTTGTTAAAACTGGTGTCATAATACTTTATTATAAAAAAATACTTTTAAAATACATCAAAATATTATGAAACAGAACAAAATTATGAAAATAAAAAAAAATTGTTTTCCAGAAGTCTAGAATATAATAAACCAGAAATGCTTATTATTGATTATTATTAATTCTTAATAATTATTTTTTATATAATTTATATTATCTCGTGCTCTATAAATTATTTGTGCACATACATTATAGTAATCAATAAATCTACAAAAATTGATATTTTTATAGTAAATATGTTCTATAATTAAATTTAATTTTGCTATTTAATTTAATATATATACAGTAGCATTCATATATTTTTTGATAATTTTACTTTATTAAACAGTACTAACAAATAATGTAATTTATTTCAATCGCACAAGATTTAAGACGTTATTCTTACCGCATGTAAGACAATTCACCGTAGAAAGTTTTACAATATTATCGTTATAAACACAATAAATTGTAAATTTGTATATAAGTGAACATCAAGAATAGTTCCTACTTTTTTTCTTCGTTGCTTTCTCATCAGAATTTTCGTAATAAGAGCGAACAGATTTTCTAACCTCTCTGGGATACCACGTTCACCGTATTGTTATCATCGTTTTACTCATGGTAGAAATACAAGGGTATGCTCATACCGTGTCAGACCACTGCGCATTCCCACCACTTTTATACAAACTTACGTCATATTCGTGTAGCATCGGAATGAATCGGATGTACTCGGTGATTCGCAATGGCTGCGTTCGCTCGGTTCGCTGTTTATGTCGAGTAATTCGTTTGTGATTATTACAGTGTACGCAATGGCGTGTAATGTGAAAGGGTGTGGGAACTATCCGGCAAAGACCAGAAAGATCGAAGGAAAAAAAAATAAAATATTTTTCCTTCCCAAAGGATCCAGCACTGTTTAATAAGTGGCGTCAAGCATGCGGAAAAGAAAATATTTCACCAAAATATGGTTTGTACTTTTGTATAGATTTCTCTTGTTTATTATTATAAGCATATATTTAAGAATCTTAAACCTTGTTTGCTTCAGCTAGGATATGTTCGAAGCATTTTGCTGATGAAGCTTTTACGAAGCCCTTACAACAACATCTACTAGGTTATTCACCTACACGAACTAGGAAGATACATCCTGATGCTATCCCGACGTTGCATCTCCATGCAGTACCTCCACTAACATCAAACGAAAATGTGTTAGCTGAAACAATGCCTTTGCCTGTATCAAATGAAGTTTCGATGGATGTTGAACAGACACCAGCATCGTCCAGTATAGAAGAACAGACACCAGCATCGTCCAGTACAGAAG